ATTGGTGCACAAAGCAATCTACAAAAACTGAGGCCTCGCCGTGAACCCACAACGTGGCAGCCGTTGAAGACCCCGCAACCGCCCCTCCCCCTCGCATGACGAGCCGCTTCCACCACGCCACCAGAACTGAAGTCACGACCACGCGACGCGCCACCTGCGTGGCCGCAAAGAAATCGTACGCAGGTAAAAAAGGTGCATCCACGCCGTGGGTGTCAAGAGGGTGCAATACCACGTCCATTTGCCGCGTCAAGACGCGCCGCCCCTCCTTTAGTGGCGTCACCCTGCAACGCGGCATTGCCCGTACAGACGCCAATGCGTTGAGCCAAACACTCGGCGCACGTCGACAAAGCAGGAGGAGCCGTCCGTGCTTCCGCCTGCATGAGAAGAGAGTTGCGGGAGCTCCGCAGCGATGCCCCTCTGCCACCTCGACGCCCTCCACAGCTGGAAGAAGCAAAGCCGTGCCCGTGATGAGCGAGACGTTGCATGTACATGACATGCGCATGGTGTGCGCGTCCAGGCGTCCATACACGCAAATAGAAGAGCAAGATAAGACGCCTCAAACTGCGGCCAGTATGGGGCGTGCAAAGCCCGCCACCTTCCCACAGGCCGCAGAACCGGGCCACAGCGTTCAGCCCGCAGTGTCCGTTAAGCCCAGATCCGCGTCAGCAATCGCAACGGTGGATGCATACGGGGTCGCGCCTCAGACGGCCAATGACGTCAAGACCACTCGAACGGGGCTCGTCATGGCGGACGCGCTCCACAGCAGGTGTGTCGGGCCCCCCGCCTACTCCTGCGCCGTGCAGAGAACAACGGTCATCCCTTAATAGGCAAAAACAAAACAAAAAAGAAAAAAGAAAAAACTGCACCCGCTTCCTTCCAATAATCTCTCTCTCTATCTATCTATCTCTCTCTCGCTATCTCCCTCTATCTTTCTCACTCTCTCTCGCTATCTCTCTCTTTCTCCTCTTTATCCTCTCTCTCTCTCTCTCTCTCTCTCTCACTCTTTCTCTCTCTTCTCTCTCACACACACTATTTCTCCCTCACACACACACTCTTACTCTCAAGAAGCAAATAGGTCAGTAAGTAAAAAAAACAAAGACACGTGGAGTCAAAAAAAAAGGTCAGCCCCTTCAGTTCGCTGGCTGCATTTGAGCGAAACCTCCTTCCACAAGTTACACACCAAGTAGGGGTGCAGCAAACAATCGAAAGAAAGAAAGGAGGCAAAACAAAAAAGGTTTTGGAAAAAAAAAAAAAAAAGAAAAGCTAGCGGGTTTTACCGAGGATCTGCCACACAATTATTCAAAGCAAAAAGAAAAAGATGAAGAAACGGATGTCCTTTTCTTTTTCTTCTTATTTTTTACAACTATGTGTTAAACAAACTTCGTTTTTGTTGCGATTTGTAATTTTTCCTTTGCATTAGCATTTTCAGCGTTCCCTTCTTGCTCATCGGCGGAAACACATCATTCCTTTCCCTCATGAATATGTAGATACATGGACGCACTGAGATCGACAAATGGATTTATCCTTTTTGCTTGTCTGTTGTTGTTGTTTATTGTTTGTTCGTTTGTTTGGGTTCTTTCTTCTTCTTTTTCTTTTATGTCAAGAAGGGGAAAAAGAAAAATAAATAAATAATAAATAAATAAATGCAGTTTGTCGGAGCCTCAGTACAGTTTCGCATTAGTTACATTTCCTTCGGGATATTGCGGTGTGGAACTACAAGTCAGCCCGTGCAATTATTGGTTCAGCTCTCCCCGCATCGTATCTGCCGTGGTCCACTGCTGTCGGCTTCACTCTGCGTCTGGCTGCTTGTTTCATAGGGCGTTAATTGGGTTGGGGATTCGTCATCTGTTGCAGACACCACCAGTTTTGGTCGCTCAGCAGCTTCTTCAGACGACGAGGCATGGAGCATGCGTGGGGAAAGAATGCGGCAGTCAATGCGCCGCGGCTTGTAGTTTACAACGGACCCTGGTGACACGCAAGTAGATAAAAAATCATTACTTAGCTCCGGGCTATCGACTAAAATGCCCCCTTTGTATGGATCTCGCTGAACACGGCGCCTGCGTGTTTCCCACCCCGCCCCGTTACTGGTATGTTGGTTGTTATCCATGTGTCCATTCATGCATCTTCCACCTTTTACTCTGGGCAGCACGTCAAACATGTACGGCGTATGACACCCCATAATGTCGGGGTCTGGACGTGAAGCAAAAGGCAACCACACGCTCTCTTCGAGACTTGAGTAGTCGTCGCCCACCGGGCACGGGGGTGTCAAAACATAAGACCGCACACTCTTCCCATTGCTCGAAGAAGCAAACACCGTATTGTTCATTGATGGTGATTCATTTTCCTCCCATGGTCGTTGATAAAGATCATTTACATTGGCGGCAGTCGTAGCAACAGGAGCGGTAGCGGCGGCTTGATCCCACATATATCTCGGCATTGTCATGAAATTCATATTGGAGGAAACATGTTCTGAAAACATCCCATTCATCGGGTCATTATAAGACATCCGTCGTCTCCCAACAAATGGAGACATGTCAGCATGATGCTGCTGGGTCGAACAATACGGCTGATGCATAGTCTCGGAATTGGGTGGTCGGCTCCACGATGACCAAGCAAAAGAGCTGTCCTCCATCTTGGAAAATGACACAGATGCGTCAAGTCGCACCACAGATGAAACAGAGTTATTAGTGGTAGTAGTAGCAGTAGCGGCAACAGCCGTAGAAGCAGCAGTGGGCTTGGCATTAGCAGGCGTTGATGTTGCTGAGTTTGTGCCCATCTTGGAAGTTCGTCGTTGGGAAACAAGTTTCGGGTGTTTTTTATTCTCCATCCGCATTTTTACCTGGACCGAGGTGCATCCACCAACAGTCTTCCCTTGCAGCAACACAAATGCCTCTTTGGCGCTCCAGGCATTTTCAAAGGCAATGTTTATAGTATCCGGAGAAAGACGGTAAAAGTGAAAAATGGGGTGTTGTGGAATCACCTCTTGAACATCGGACACAGTCACTGTGCTGCTCACGCCTTGAATGTGCAGTGTGCACCGAGAACGGGGAAAGGCCTGAGGAAAGGGGCCGAGTCGCAATCCCTTCGGCGTGTTGCGCAGCACCACTTTTTGTGACATGCGCGTGGCGGCTGCAAAGAGATCTGCCGTCCTCTCATTGTTCAATTCGCTTGGTACGGCGTTCCGCACAGCCGGGAGAGTCAGCAAATACGACATTGGTACCGTGAGACTGTCGTCCATAGCCGCCAAGAGGGCTGCCGGAGAGGCGGAGTCGATCGTCGCGGCATTGCACGCCTCCTGTGCATGTTGTCGAAGGTGATTTACAGAGAGCAGCTCCTCCAGCACCGCCAAAAGGGTGTCCATGGCGGCTTCATCCACAGAATGCATTTGCATTTCACATTGACCCGAAGGCGTCATATTCGTTTTGCGTGGCATTAGAACTTCATCTTCAAGGGCGTGTGTCATTTATACCTTCCTGCGTCGCTTCTCTACTTCCACTGTTGGAGTTGTTGGCTCAGCTTTTTTGTTGTCGTTTTCTTTTTTGCTCGTTTGGTTTTGCTCTGCCTCCGCCCTCCCCCTCCCTTTGAATCGCTTACGCTTTTGACGCCTAAAACTGGTTCCCCTCCTTTTCTTCTTTGACTTTTTTTTTTACAACTACCCCTCACTTTTGACTGTGCGATAATGCAAAACTTCAGAAAAGGCAGCAACATCAAAGAGCCTACAAGGAAGCACCCAACGTCGCCGCGTCAGGGGCGGCAGCACACACAGAGTGAGAAGGAGAGACGGCGACGAGCGTGCATGCATGCATGCATCGTGTCCGTCGGGAACTGTGGGAATCACTTTCCCCGCGACTTCCTCCTCTTTCTTTCGTCTCCGCCAACTTCCCCCTAAATGATGGGGGTGGAGCGAAGAGAGTGACAAAACGAAAAAGGCGAAAGGACGCCGCAAAAGAAGGGACCGGTCTCCTCTTCCGTCTTCCTTCACCAAACTTCGCTTTAGCTTTGGCTTTGTTTTTCGTTCGTTTCTTTTCAAAATGTAATGTTCTTCTCCGTTGGTCTATTTTTCTTTCATTTGCCTTGGCGCCGTTTGTTTCTGCCACGTCACTTGTTGGTTCTCTCCTGCCCCGCGCCTACGCCAGTCTTATTCCCCCTATCTTGTTATTTTTTCCTATATATAATTTCTCTCTCTCTCTCTCTCTTTTAACGCAGCGTTCTTCCTCCTACTCTTTTCTTTTTTTCTTTTTTGTTTGTTTGCCGTTGTTTCTTCTTGTCCTCACCGCCTCCATGAAGACTTAAATTTAGTTCACAGCTCCTTCGCGCTCTTTCCACACGCACGCAAGCACATGGGTGGGGAATCCCTCTCAGGAAGGACGCCTCTTGTGGGCGTATCTCCTAGACGCGGCACCCGTGCGTCGGCACCCCGCTCTCGTCCGCCTCCTCCACGCCTACAACTGCGCCCCCTCCCCAACAACCTCCTGCAACCGTTTGGCATCGAGCATGCGTGCGTGTGCGTGTATGCCTCTCTGTGGGACTCCCTTCTGCACTGCCTCATCCCCGCAAGTTACTTCATTTACCGTTGCTCCTCCTCCTCCTCAGGGTTGAGACGCACACAATCGTCAATGCGGAGGATCGTGATGGCCGCCTCAGTGGCAAAGTGCAGCGACTTAACTTTGCTTGGCTGCGGCTCCAGCACGCCAGCCTCCATGTTGTTGCGCAGGCTCCCCTCGATAAGGTCAAGACCAAAGAAGCGTTCCACGCCCTGGCTCTTCCCTGCAGCCTGCTGCTCATTGTGCACGACGCGAAGCCGCGCCACCAGATCCGTCGCGTCCAACGCAGCATTCAGCGCTAAAGTCTTTGGGATGATAAGCAGCGCCTCGGAGAAGGCCGCAATCGCCAACTGCTCGCGAGACCCAAGGGTGTGGGCAAAGTTCTCGAGGTACACAGAGAGCGCCACCTCCACCGCCCCCCCGCCGGCAACCACGGAGCTAGCCTCCAGCGTGCGTGCCACTGCCCACAGAGCGTCGTTCAACGCGCGTTCCATCTCCTCCAGCACAAGGTAGTTGGCGCCCCGGCAAATAATGCTGGAGCACACCGCATTGCTCGTGCCGGAGATGATGATGATGTCGTCCTCGCCAAAGCGTTCCTCGTACACACTCTCCGCCTTGCCAAGCCACTTGGGGTCAAATACCTCCTCCCCCTCAAGATCCGAAAGTGTATGCACCACCTGCGCCCCCGTCACCTTCGCAATACGACGCATGTCATCCTTCTTTACCCGGCGCACACCAAGCACGCCTTCGTCCACCATATACTTCATCATACTGTCCTCAATACCCCAAGAAGTCAAAATCACATTGGCGCCCGCAGCAATCATCTTCTTAATGCGTTCCTTTGTGATATCAAGCTCGCGCTGACGAATGGCCTCGGCCTTGGTGGGGTCGGTAATGGTGATGTTGATGCCTAACTTCATCTTCACCGCACGCAGATCAAAATCAATAAGTGCAATACGAGCATTCTGCACCGACGTTGGCATGCCCTGTGCTGCACGAGAAAGACCCAATGCAAAGCCCTGCATCAGCATTGATTCTCGGGCGCTCTTGCCGTGCTGAAGGAGGACACTCACCGCCTTTCTGGGGTATACAACATCGCCCAGTTCATTCACAGTCTTGACGGAAAGAATCGCATCCACGACAATTTTGGCAAACAAATCAGACTCAGAACTGAGAATCTTGCTGCTCATTGAGGTACGTGCAACGTTGAGGAGGACGTCCTTGCCCAGGCCATCCACGGGAAGACTGAGACGGTCTTTAAGATAGCGCACCGCCTCACGCAAGGCCAGCTTGTAGCCTGCAATGATGCTTGTGGCATGAATACCTTGTACAATAAGGTCCTGCGCGCGCTTGAGCAGCTCGGAGGCAAGAATAACAACTGACGTGGTGCCGTCACCAATCTCCTTGTCCTGCAGCTGAGCGAGGTCAACGAGAAGGCGGGCGGCGGGGTGCTCCACGTCCAAGCTCTTAAGGATCGTTGCACCGTCGTTTGTCACGCAAACATCACCAACATCATCGACCAGCATTTTGTCAAGGCCAACGGGGCCAAGTGACGACTTTACAACATTGGCTACCGCCATTGCAGCCGTCACATTCTCACGGCGCACCGGCAGTCCACTTGTGCGAGTGCCGTTAATGCCTAACGCTTGTTTCTGCTTCGTCTGCATACTTCTTTTTTTTTTATTTCCGTTGTTTTTCCTTCTTTTTTGTTTATTTGGTTTGCTGTTTACGAGGCCTTGCCGAATCAAACTCCTGCCATTGTTGTTTGAGGTGAAGACGACAGCCCGGAGAAATTAAAAAAAAAAAACACAGAGCAACAAAGCAGTCAACACATTTAAAAACGCGCAGAATGAGGATGAGAGTATTTGTGGGAGCACAAGAACAGGCAAATAGAGGACCCTCTTATTTGAGCACAAAAGAGGGAGAGGGAGAGAGAACGAGGAGGATTCTTCACTTATGTGAGTCGCAGTGAAAACGCGGTTGGATTCAAACCTCCCCAACCATCCTCAGTCGGTTTGCGCTCCGAGAAAGGAATGCAAAAATGATTCCCACAACAACGAGCACCATGGAAAAAATACTAATTACCAAAAAGCCACTCAAGTTCTTACGCACCGTGGAGTAGACAACGTCGGTGCAGACAACGGGAGACATGGGGAGAAACGATGGACACACGGGGCAGGCAGTCTCAACCCACTTGGGCGGGTCACTCGTATTGTAGCACGCCCCAGGCAGGCAGCATCCGTCACGAAAACCGGAGCAGTTGTAGCGTTGCTGTAGAAAACAAATATCATACCTTCGGTCCGCCTTTGTGTCATTTACACCGCGCCTCCAGGCATCCATCAACTTCGCAGGGTCCATCAAAGCCACCTGCGTATCCCGATCGTACACAGTCGCAGCGATGATAAGGGCAAAAAGGGCGATAAATAAAACGACGAGGTAACCAACATACACCAGCAAAAACATCATTTGCCGCTGACGTATCCACATAAACCCAAAAATGGTGAAAAGCCAGAGAATAATCCCAAAGACAAGGGCCGACAACGCAATGTATCCGCACGGCTCACAGAGACGCACCGCCATATTATCATGAGCGACAATACCCGACATAACAAGCAGCATCGACGCCATAATAAACGTAAAGTTGATAAATATAAGGGAATAACCAAAAAGAGACCGAGGCGTCCTACTTGAACCGCGGAGAGGGTGTTCACCACGCCCACCAGCTGCCACCTCACTGAACTCTCGCCCGCAAGAAACCGCGGCAGCTGAAGGGGGCTCCTCGCGCCCCTGTGAGGTAGTTGTTGCATGCGAGCAATCGTCCTTTTCTCGGTTCGCGATAAGCGGCAACCTGAGCTGGTCCCGCAGCGACTGACTGCGTAGAATGTCGCCCACAAAGGAATCTGTGGAACTCTTGCTTTCATTCTTTTCTTTTGAGTCCATCCCCTCCCTGCATCCTTATATTGCACAACTCTACCCACAAGGATCTGCGTTCATGCGTGTATTTTTGACAAAGAAGAAGAAAGTAACAATAACGGTGATGGTGCCCAGGGAGGAAACGAGAAGAAAAACACAAAACAAAACAAAAAAGATTATTATTATTTTACTTTATTTTTATTTTTATTTTTATTTTATTTTTTTAGAGGG